ATTTTTCTTAGGCTTGTTATTTCTTTCTAGTATTAAACATAAAAACCCAAAAGAATTTTCGTCTAGCTTTGCTTATTCCTTGATATTTTTTTATATAAAAGAAAATCTCTAAAAAGAAGTTTTTTGTTTGATTAAATTCGTTCCTACTCTTAAGTGTTAGTCAAGTGATCTTTTTCTTTGGCTATACCTGTTTGGGCCGTATTTATTTTATCACTGCCGTGGTGCTTTGATCTAATGTTGTTTTTGTCAGATACAGGAACATCATGGGAGAAGTGCCAATAACTCCTCATGCCCTCGCTGCCTCCTCAACGGGTCTTGTGCTCGCTGGTATTGTTGTTGCAATGGATCCGGGGGTATATCATCCTCAAGCTCTGGCATGTTCTCCTATGGTTCTCGCAAGTTCCTTATGGGGGCTCTCGGAGCTGGTGCTGGCACGGGTGGTACGAGTGGCACATGTGGTTAGGGTGGTGGAGGCGGTTGTTTTAAGCAAACAAGCCTTGTTCCAAAATCATCTCCTCTTGGAAGACAGACTGATTGGTCAAATAATTGAATGTAAACTATTGACAGGCTAATGATAGACTAATTGCAAATTACTGGCAGACTAATATCAAACTGAAAATAAACTAATGGATCCCGCTTTTGAGTCATTTTAGAAAAAGTTTTGTTTTGTAATAAAATTGTCACGTGAGTTATTTTAAAAATTATCCCTTTATTTTTTATCATTCATAATTACGCTTCTAATTTTATACAAAGAGAAGATATACTTTGTTTTTAATATTTAGCTCCTAATTGTATTGTCATATCATCTATATATATATGTAAACATGCCAAACCAATGTTAGAAGCCCGCGCTCGGAAAACCTTTATAGGTTTAGTATCGGTATAGCATCTGAAATTAGTGTCTTCGGATTAGAGCCCGCACAAGGGCTTCACCATATATCTCTATGGCCTATCTTCTTATCATGCCAATACTAATCATGAATAAGCATACCATCAAAGTTTTCATCTTTTAAAAATCTCTTTTATCATTCAGAAATGTTTATTTTTCTTCAGATTACAAAGTTTATATTACCAATTTAAATAAAATTGCCATTTTATATCTTTTAACAAACTCTAAAACATTTATTGGAAGGTATCGAAAGATGAAAAATTTAGATGTCATAAGAAATGTTTTAGAGTTCCTTTTTTAGGAAATGATCAAAAATGATCCATACTAGAAAAGTAATGTAGACTTAAATGATCCATAATAGAAAAAATTAATGTAGACTTAAATGATCAAAAATAATGAGAATTAAATGATCTATAATAGAAAAAATGTAAAAATAACTATTTTCATGAATATTTTAGGGATAATTAGAAAAATAGGATAAATTTAGAAAAGTATTGTCTCATTAATACTTATTTAGAATACATTGTCCAAATAATACTTTAAATAATACAAAACCTAAACTACTCTGTAAATACTTAAAAAACTATTTAGATAAAATTGAGAAAACAAAAATTAAGAATTAAAATATTAAACTTAAAAATATTAATCGATGTAGCACACACAAAAAAAAATATCTTCTAATAAACATAAAAAACATCGCTCTTCTTCTCCGTCACATCCAACTCAAAACCATCGGCACTCCGTCATCCTCATCCTTCGCCGGCGTCGTCTTCATCCTCCACCGGCGTCGTCTTCATCTTTCGCCGGTGTCGTCCTCCTCCACCGGCCTCCAATTAATAAAAATCTGCAATTTTTCCTAGCAGTTCCTCCTCTTCCTTGTTTTCTCCACATTCGTCTCCTTTGTCGGCGTTCTCCTCCATCAGCGTCCTCTCTTCTGCCAGTATCGTCGTTGAGTTGGTAAGTGACTTTGGGTGTTCAATTTTTGCTTCTTCCTCCTCTTTCTTGTTTCCTTCTCAACCTAAGGGATAAAATTAATTTTGGAAATCCGATTTTTGCAGATAAAACAGCCCGGCGAATCTTTTTTTTCTGGCCTCCTCATCTCCGCCAAACTCCTCCTTCTCTGTCGGGTCTTCCTCTTCCCGCATCGGCTGTCATCCTCCTTGTGGCGGTAAGTTTCTCCTCCTTGTGGCGGTAAGTTTCTCCTCCTTCCTCCTTCTTTCCTCATTCTATTCAAACATTGCACTATTGATAGCACCAAATTTACTGTCTCAGTCCACAACAAATCTTAGATTTAGACGGTAAACAAATTTACTTGCCTTTGATGTTCCTAGGTAATAGACGGTAAACATGTAGATTTAGATAGGCGTAAGCTAGCCTTTGGTGTTCCTAGGTAATCGATATTAACTACAACCTCTAGCTAAGAGTGGATTAGGTTTGCAGTCTTCCTTAGTTAGGATTTTTAAGTAAAAGATAAAAATGATTGCAAAATCATAACAAGAAAGCCTTTGCCATCGTTGTTTGCATGTATGTATTCATGTTTCTCTTCTTCTTTTGTTTACATTCCCTTTGCTATTTAATAACCTATGAAATTTTGTTTGTTTTTTTATAGCTTGATTAGTTACTCTATGCCTGTTTCTCATATACTTCATAATTCCTTACAAGCTGGTTACTAATGCTTCTTTAATCGATGTTTGTTGCTCTACAAGTTTATTCATCACTCTGATATAAAGTGTGACACTACATTTTTCGCCTCCTCTACAAAGAAGTGAAGAACATAACTTTCGACATATAAATAAACTTGTATGTTGTGGTGTAAGAAAATAGTTGATTAACTCACCCACTCTAATTTGAGTCAAAAAAATTTAGACTGGTTAAGTCATATTTATTCTCACCTAAGTTGGTTCTATGAAATTGTGTTAGTCATGTTTTATTAATGCTAAATTGTTCACATTATTGATTATCTATGTGTTATGTGCAGCTCTTGTCTTTTTTTTTTCTTTTTTTTTTCTTTCTTTATTAGTTGTTTTTTGTTACCTGTTTGCTCATATTATTAGTTTTTGAATAATTGTGTTTGTAGGTATGAATTTGGAATTGCCAAAACGGTTGTTTGAGGCAGGATGTGAGCCTCAAGTATCACATATTAACAACAACTGCAAAATGACATATATGGAAAAATTGGAGGGAGCCCTGCCACATGAGTATGAAATTGTCAAGAAAGACCCTGTATTTGCTAAAATTTGAGCGATCCATGAAAACAATCTAGGATATTCGGGAAGATTGCTTCACAGCTTTATGTGTAGGCAACTGATAACTGACAAACATCGTGCGCTATGGTTTGTGTTTGGCAGGAGGCCCCTACGATTTTCTCTGCAAGAATTCTATGCAATTACTGGACTCAAGTGCGTAAATGAGGATAATTGCAATGTGGAGAACTTTGTAGAAGATAAAGGTTTTTGGAGCAAGGTGATAAAGAATGACGCTAAGATTAGCATGAAGACAATAATGGATAAGCACTTAAAAGGTGCTAACGATTGGGATCGTGAGGACAGATTGAGGTTGGTGTATTTGTGTGTTATTGCTGGTTTGCTTATGGCTAAGGATGAGAAGGTTGCTATCCCACTCATATACATCAAACTGGTGATGAATCTTGATAACCTGCGAGCATATCCATGGGGTGGTGAATCTTTTACAGTTCTTGTTGACTCAATTATCAAGAACTGAAAGAAGTTGAAGAAGACAACATACTCTTTGGATGGCTTCTCCTACGCATTCAGATTTGGCTCATGGAAGCAATTCCAGACGTTGGTATATTGTTGGGCCAGAAACTCGAGAATGCTTCCACAGAAAGTGTCAGGTGCTGTAATTGGACAGGAGCTGCAAGAGTATCGTATGACGAGATTATTCAGCTTGAGAGCACATTTGGATCAGAGGTTTGTAATTTTTTGAAAACATTGAATAATTTATATTCTCAATTCGTCTATATAACTAATTATTTTTTTGTATTTTCTTATAGGATGTTCATTATCCATACATCTCTTCTTCCGGGAATTTCGATATATTCGAATCTGCTGAGTTTTTATGGTTTGAGAAAATGCGTGATGGAATAGTTGATCATATGAAAGAGCTGATCAGAGTTGGAAATGACTGGAGTGAACATATATGGGAGTTTGTAGAATCTGGTGAGACTTCTTTGCCTGATCATAACGTGATTATTGATGAGGTACTTGAAGTGAGAACTTCTAATGTTGAAAACAGCTCAGTTTCTGGTTTTAAGAGGGGCACTAACAAGCTCCATGACCTTGGTGCGGAGAAACGAAAACAGAAATTGTTGTGCCAAAGATCAGCTGTAAAACATGGAGCTTTTGTTGAAGACATGAAGTCTTTTTTGGAAGAAATGTTTCAGACTTCTTTCGCTGCTTTGGAGGAGAAGCTTGAGAAAAAAATTGATGAAAGATTGGGGAAATTAGAGAATGAGTTCACAAAACTCAAAGATTCAGTCACTCTACGTGCATTTGTAGGGACATGTGGAGAACCTGCTAACTTAGATGTCAACCAATCTCAGTCCAAAAGAACGGTAAGCAAGAAAAAAACCTATAAGTCTTGATCACCTTCGATTTTACATAATGTCTGTTGTTTTTTGTTTCTGAAATGGAAGGTTGCTTATGTTGTGGCTTGTTTGTTATTTGTTTCTCCAAATGTAATGATGTAATGATGTTAACAATGTATTGTATTTATGCCTATTTAGCAATGTATGCCTCGTTATGTTTTATCATAAATGTTATTATTTCTATCTTTTTATTATTGTTATATGAGTTATCTTTCTATATTAACAGGCTGAAAATCATAATGGAGTAATCGACAATGTGTTCGGAAATTTACATGAAGTTTTTGTGAGTCAGACATCAGATGTTGAACTGGAAGTGGGTACACAAGATTTCCTCCGCAAAACTATGGACCGACTTTCTCAGGATTCATATGTAAAAGGTTTTGATCTAACACAGCCTGCAAAAAATCCAAGAACCATCACATTTTAGTGTTGATGGAAAGTGGTCCGAATTTGAAAGAAGGGACCCAACAAAGGATGATGATTTCAAATTAGTTTACATGTCAGACGAATCATGGAAGCAACTAAATGACTGGCATATGTCTTTCTCGCCCATGTAAGGCCTATAACTTTTCCTTTTGGGAAATTTTTTTTTCTATAGTTGCTTAATTAATAAATTATAAGCGTGTTTATATGGTTTCAGATCTCTGCAGATTGGTCCAAGTGTTTTTAATGATAAATTAGCTAATCGTATAATTGGACCAAAAGAATGGCTTGGAAACGAGGTTAATAGTCAGCGAAATATTATTTTCTAAACTTGACATGAGACGCCACTAATTTACATGTTAATTTTTTTTTTCCAGAATATGGATGCTGTCATGTACTTATTCCGGGAGAACACAACTTTGCGTCGATGGAAACCAGATCGAGTTGCTTTCTTGAACTGTTTATTCAGCCACCAAATCAATACTGTTTATAGAAAGTTTTTGGAGAACAAAAAAGAATTCAAGTGGGATAGATTCTTCTTAGCTTACGCAATCGGTGATCTTCCATCAGATGGAAAAACAAGTAAAGTGTGGAATGTGGATGTTGATGGTATCTACACTCCGCTCTTTGTGAATGGAAATCACTGGACTTCTATTTGCATCAATTTGGTGCAAAGAACTATTGAAGTGTTTGATTGTTCAGGCCTGAAAAAGAACAAGCACATAGAACCATTTGCAGTCCTCATCCCTCGGCTTGTGAAGTAAATTCAGTCCCCTTCCAACAAGAAACATCTAACTATTACTCCGTATTCTGTCTTGCATGTGCCGATGCGAAGTGGACTTAATAAGAGTGGTTGTGACTGTGGAGTTTATGCGTTGAAATTCATAGAATGTCACCTCCTTGGACTAGACATGTCATTGTTGGATGATGACAACATTAAGGAGGCTCGACATAAGATTGCTTCGGATCTATTCCAAGCGGCAAATGATCCTGTGTTGGTTGAGCGAGTGGCGAAATATGAACGTCCAAAATTTGACTACGATTTTATAAGTATAGGTTAAAATAACAGTTATCTTTTAGTTTTATGTAACTTCTTCTTAAGTGTTATTGACTTTGAAATTCATTTTATAGTTAATGGCTTATACATTGCACCATATGCCTTGTTCTATCCGACAAAGTATTTAAAGCCAGCATGGTTTACACCATACGAGTCGCGACACCAAGAACGAGTGACTGAAAAGAAATTGCAAAAACCTGCAACTTAAACCAGAAAATAGTGTGCAAGTAAGGAGTTTTAGAGGATAATTCCCGAACAACCAAGAAGATTCAGATTGCTTCCAAGGTGTCCATGGATAGATCTCATTGCAAAGAATCCATAGGAGCTTACGTCGTATCAATAGGAGTTAAACTCCATCCACAAATTGCTTCAAAAGTTAGCAAAAAATCATCAAAGTCTGCGATTTTTAGAAACCAAAAAAGAGGTTTCAAGAGAGTTTTTCGATCTAAACTTTGGAAACTAAAGTCTCACAAGTCACAAGCTCACAAACTATGCTTTTAAAAAAAACCAGTCATTGACAAGAAATCGCAAAAAACCTGCAACTTAAACCAGAAAATAGTGTGCAAGTAAGGAGTTTTGGAGGATAATTCCCGAACAACCAAGAAGATTCAGATCGCTTCCAAGGTGTCCATGGATAGATCTCATTGCAAAGAATCCATAGGAGCTTACGGCGTATCAGTAGGAGTTAAACTCCATCTACAAATCGCTTCAAAAGTTAGCAAAAAATCATCAAATTCTGCAATTTTCATTAATCATAAACGGACAGTTACTTTGTGTTACTTTGGTTCTGTTTGTTCGAAGATGCAAAAATAGAGTATACTTGTTAAGTGAATAGCCATGAAAGATTGAAATCAAATGAATAAAAAGTATATTCTGACAATGTCATTCATAACCAAATTCAAAACAAAATGAAATGACATAAGAAGATAGAGAAAGTATAACTTGTTATATTGCTATTTCACAAGTTCCTCTTTTGTGGCCTTCGATACCACACCGATTGCACTTATGCTTCTTGGACCTTTGTGGTCCTTGTGACGATCGTATTTTGTCTTCAACTGTTTCGTGTCTCTGTTTCCTTCGTCTACCTGCAGTTCTTCGTGTTTCAGGTGGTAGAACTTTAGCAAGTTCAACATCCTTTGGAACACGCCATGCATCTTCAGGAACACCTATTGGATTAATGCTTTCTTCATAAATCAATCTCCATGCAGCTGTAGTATACATTTCATCTGTGAGTGGGTAAACTTCCTTGCCTACAGAAAAAGCTGCACTGATGGCGTGTCTGCAAGAAATCTTCAACAAATCATACTTTCCACAAGAACAAGTTCTACTGCCCAAATCAACAACGCAGTCGAATTTGTCACCTTTAACTTGAAATCTGTTGTGGTCAACCGGGAAAACAACAAATGTTTTACCCTTCTCAATCTTTCTTGCTATCTTTTTCTCCATTTCAATGGTTAAAGGATGCTCCTGTTTTGAGCTTAAAATTCTCCGCTCATAAAACCACCTGGTTAACATCTCTCTGATGCTATCCAACAAAGGAATGACTGGATATTCTCTTGGTTTCACCAATGCAGCATTTATCAATTCAGCAGGGTTATTGGTCCTAACATCATACCTGAAACCGGGAAACAGACAACGAGCCCATTTTTTCACATCAGCATCTTGTAGATATTTTCCAATGCCCAGACTAATATTGCAGATATCTTTCAAATATCTCTCAAACTCAGCAATCCTGTATGCTTTTGAAGCCTTTACAACGAGGTCAGTCAAACATTTTCCCTTGAAATATGCTACCACATTTATTCAGCAAATGGTGAATGCAAATTCCATGTCTAGAACGAGGGTACACTTTCAGTAGTGATTTTTTGATTGAGGAATTTCTATCTGACACAAAAACCAAACTATCCTCATCTGCAATGACAACCTTTAGTTGCTTTAAAAACCACTCTCATGACTTGTCATTCTTTGAATCAACAACCCCAAATGCAATTGGATACAAATTAGAGTTACCATCTAAAAATGTAGCGACAAGTAGAGTTCCTTTGTATTTACTCTTCAAATATGTACCATCAACAACAATGACCTTCCGAATAGCTTTGTAGAACCCTCTAATAGACTGACCGAAAGAAACAAAAAGATATCTGAATCGACCATCGTAATCAGTTTTGTAATCAGTATGCGTACCAGGATTAGCTTCTTTTAGCATGTGCAAGTATTTTGGTATTCTACCATAGCTTTTCTCCGGAATACCTCTAACAGCATTAACTGCATACTCACGGGACTCCCATGCTTGGTTATAAGAGATCTCGCAACCATGGTCTACACGCATAATCTGTATAATATCATTCGGCTTAGGCCCTTCCTTGGCACCCTCATACTTGTGCATAATCAGATTGCCAATCGTCTTTTCTGAAGCTGTCCTACCAGATTTGTTTTTCCTTGAAGGAGCACATGTATGTTTAGCCACATACTTGTTGATTTTGAAATAGGAAGATCTATTTAAAGACTCAGCGCGAACAGCCCACTTGCATACTTTATCTGTGCAGCGTATACTCCACCATCTTGTGGTAGATTGTACAACCCTGTAGTCAAAGTTATACTTCATTGCACAAATTTTCAGAGTTGCCTTTAAAACGTTTTTGTTTCCGAAATGCTGTCCCTTCTTCACACAATCCACTGGCCAAAACTGATCTTCCTTTTGATTGCCTTCTTTGTTTTCAGACATGACTTCATCATCACCACCACAGTCATCATTCACCTTAGCCACATTCACAAATTCTTCTGATTTTTCAGGCAAGTTAACATCATCTTCTCCAACACTTGAATGAGATGGTTCCTTATTCAAATCAATGTTGAGTCTACTTTTTCGATTGTCCACTAGAGCTGTAAATGTCACACACAACTGTACTGACAAATACTTCCTTGCATATCCAACAAAATTTCTCACTTGCCGATCATTTGTGATAATAACTAGGAGAGATCCTAAGGTACTGATCAAATCGATAGGTAGATAACTGAATTCGACATAATTAACGCCTTGTTCAATCCCGTAGTCCTATAAAACCATCGTCTTTAACTCCTCAAGGCTGGTAATAGATTCCAAATCAAGTAATAGACCTCCTCTTTTTTTTTGATCAATGATGAATCTCCACTCCTTGTTCACATTCGATTTCCATACACCACAATTAACATAGATATGCCGCATATTAATTGAACAGAAAACGCAGAGAAGAAAAAACCCTAGAAAAAGAGAGAAAAGAAAGAAATCGAGAGCTTGTGGAGTTATGGTCTTTGAAAGAGAAGAGAAGTTACGCTCTTTATAAGAGAAGAGAAACCGAGAAATCTTATTTCTCAAAAACGAATTTTAAATAAGTTTACAAAATATTCAGTTGGGATTTTTTCCTTTTTTCCAGATTTTCCTCAGATTTTCGTAGAAGACATATTATACATAGAAGACACCTTCTATCATTTAATAGACAACAGAGTGAATGGTAGAAAATGTATTATACCACCGGTAGATGATAGAAAAAATAGTAGAAAATATATTCTACGGTCGGTTGATGATAGAGCAATAAGCAGAACACATATTCTGCCAAATCATTGATGGTAGAATTTGAAATCTAACTTTCGGTATAAGAGAAGAAAATCAGTTTTCCCAGCAATTTTTTTTCATAAATAGATAGTTATTTGTTTTTATGTATTTTTCATAACATAATCTGTTTTTTCAGATTTTAAAATAATTTATTAAATGTTTTTTAAATTTTACATAAAGATTTTTTAGTCAAAAATTGACAAAAATTTAAAAAAGTTTAATGAGATAATAAGTTACTTTTTTGACCTATTTACACAAATTTTCCAATATTTTATAAATTCTACCACAAACAATATAAGTAATTTATCATACAAACTATTAATAAATTAAATACAGACTAATAACGGACTAATTGATTATACAATTAAAATTAGATTAATTACAGACTAATAACATATGAAATACAAATTAATAGCACACTACCAATAGACTAAAAATATATTAGTGAATCCTTTTTATAATTTTCCTAGAGATTTTGTTTACAATAAAATTGGTAAGGGAGCTATTTAAACAAATAACCCCTTTTCTTTTTACTGTACTGTGCATATTTTTGGTTCGTGGAGCCCACAAGTGTCCCTTGGTCAAGAACAGCAAATATTTTGATCTTGATAGGCTATGTAACGACAAAACTTTTCAGATGGGTCGATAGTCAGTTTCTGTTGGTTAAATCTTGTTTTTTTTTTTTTTTTTTTTGCATAGAGGGCCCAAGAACATTGTACCGTGTAGTTGTACATATTAATTTACCGTATAAATTAGGAATTAACAAAAAAAAAAAAAAAATTGTTATCTTAAAATTGAACTGAACAATCGAAATGTAAAGCAAATCCGATCAA